GCTGAAATCTTTAAAGAGGGAGGACCTGAGCTGACACACAACTCCACCAGCTTATTGAAAAAGTGTGGGTGACCGAGAAAATCCCAGCAGATTTCAAGGACGCCACCATCATCACCCTCTTCAAAAAAGGGGAAAGAACAGACTGCGGAAACTATCGAGGTATCTCCCTTCTAACCTCCGCTGGGAAAATCCTCGCAAGAATCCTTGCAAACCGCTTTCTGCCCCTCTCAGAAGACACCCTCCCAGAATCCCAGAACGGCTTCCGCCCCTCCAGAGGAACCGTGGACATGATCTTCACTGCACGACAGCTCCAAGAAAAATGCAGGGAACAAAACCAACCTCTGTACATGGCATTCATCGACCTTGCAAAGGCATTCGACACAGTGAATCGCAGCGCTCTCTGGACCATCCTCCACAAAATCGGGTGCCCAAGCAAATTTGTGAACATCCTGCGGCTCCTCCATGATGACATGATGGCAACAGTCTTGGACAGCAGTGGCTCCCAAAGTGACCCATTTAAGGTGGAATCAGGTGTCAAACAGGGATGTGTTGTTGCCCCAACTCTATTCTCCATCTTCATCGCTATGATACTTCACCTTGTTGATGGGAAGCTTCCCACCGGAGTGGAAATAATCTATCGGACAGATGGCAAGCTATTCAACCTCAGCAGACTGAAAGCCAAAACCAAGGTTACAACAACAGCTGTTATAGAACTCCAGTATGCTGATGACAATATCGTCTGTGCGCATTCAGAAGAAGATCTACAAGCCACTCTAAACACCTTCGCAGAAGCATATGAGAAGCTCGGCCTGTCACTGAACATTGAGAAAACCAAGGTGCTGTTCCAGCAGTCGCCAGCCAATCTCTCTTCCAATGCCAGTAATACAGCTTAATGGTGTCACATTAGAAAATGTGGACCATTTCCGCTACCTTGGCAGCCACCTCTCCACCAAAGTCAACATCGACGCCGAAATACAACACCGCCTGAGCTCTGCAAGTGCAGCATTTTCCGAATGAAGCAGAGAGTGTTTGAGGACCGGGACATCCGTAGGGATACCAAGGTGCTTGTTTATAAAGCTATTGTCCTCCCAACCCTGCTATATGCCTGTGAGACGTGGACTGTCTACAGACGTCACATGCAGCTTCTGGAACGTTTCCATCAGCGCTGCCTCCGGAAAATCCTGCAAATCTCCTGGGAAGACAAGCGGACAAACGTCAGTGTGCTGGAAGAAGCAAAGACCACCAGCATTGAAGTGATGGTCCTCCAACATCAACTCCGCTGGGCCGGCCACGTTGTCCGGATGCCTGACCACAGTCTCCCAAAGCAGTTGCTCTACTCCGAACTTAAGAACGGAAAACGGAACGTTGGTGGACAGGAAAAGAGATTTAAAGATGGGCTCAAAGCCAACCTTAAAAACTCTGGCATAGACACTGAGAACTGGGAAGCCCTGGCCTTTGAGCGCTCCAGCTGGAGGACAGCTGTGACCAGCAGTGCTGCAGAATTTGAGGAGGCACGAGTGGAGGGTGAAAGAGAGAAACGTGCCAGGAGGAAGGCGCGTCAAGCCAACCCCGACCGGGACCGCCTTCCACCTGGAAACCAATGCCCTCACTGTGGAAGAAGATGCAGGCAAGAATAGGGCTCCACAGCCACATACGGACCCACAAGGAAATCCATAATGGAAGACCATCTTACTCGTCCAACGAGGGATCGCCTAAGTAAGTAAGTAATCTGTTTTAGAGATTAAGAAATATTTCCGGGGGAAATGCTTTCACAAGATTAATGGATTAATGGTTTGCAAAAACTTCAAGAGAAACATGCATATATTGAAACCTATGTACAGATCTATAGGGTTTGCAAAGGCCAGTGAACACTTCCAAACACTTGTGTGAAAAAGATTTTGGAGTCCTCGTGGACAACAAGTTAAACATGAGGCAACAATGTGATGTGGCGGCAAAAAAAGCCAATGGGATTTTGGCCTGCATCAATAGGAGCATAGTGTCTAGATCTAGGGAAGTCATGCTACCCCTCTATTCTGTTTTGGTTAGACCACACCTGGGATATTGTGTCCAATTCTGGGCACCACAATTCAAGAGAGATATTGACAAGCTGAAATGTGTCCAGAGGAGGGTGACTAAAATGATCCAGGGACTGGAGAACAAGCCCAATGAGGAGCAGCTTAAGGAGCTGGGCATGTTTAGCCTGAAGAAGAGAAGGCTGAGAGGGGATATGATAGCCATGTATAAATATGTGAGAGGAAGCCACAGGGAGGAGGGAGCAAGCTTGTTTTCTGCTTCCTTGGAGACTAGGACGCGATGGAACAATGGCTTCAAACTACAAGAGAGGAGATTCCATCTGAACACGAGGAAGAACTTCCTGACTGTGAGAGCCAGTCAGCAGTGGAACTCTCTGCCCCGGAGTGTGGTGGAGGCTCCTTCTTTGGAAGCTTTTAAACAGAGGCTGGATGGCCATTTGTCAGGGGTGATTTGAATGCAATATTCCTGCTTCTTGGCAGAATGGGGTTGGACTGGATGGCCCATGAGGTCTCTTCCAACTCTTTGATTCTATGATTCTATGATTCTAAGGGAACAAAAATGCACATATCAAGTTAATACAATTAGATATACACACACAAAAACCAGGAAATTTGGTGGGTTTGAAAGAGAGCCATATAAACAAGGAGGACATGAAATCTTATCTCTTTTCCCTCCTTCCCTTCCTTTTGACTGAACATTAGAAAGAACTTCCTGATTGTGAGAGCCGTTCAGCAGTGGAACTCTCTGCCCCAGAGTGTGGTAAAGGCTCCTTCTTTGGAAGCTTTTAAACAGAGGCTGGATGGCCATCTGTTGGGGATGCTTTTAATGCAATTTTCCTGCTTCTTGACAGAATGGGGTTGGACTGGATGGCCCACCAGGTCTCTTCCAACTCTATGATTCTCTGATTGGAAAAGAAAACACACTGTTAAGGGATAGGAAGAGGAGAGAAAAATACATACAGAGAAGCTTTGATAATGTTTTTTAATGCTGTGCATGGTTTTTATATATTTTTTATTGCTGTTACTGTTTTAATAGTATTTATGATTGTTTTAATTGTTGTAAGTGTTCTGGCACCAAAATGTTGCCTATTGTTAACTGCTCCGAGTTGCCCTTGGGCTGAGAGGGGCAGTATATAAGCATAGTAAGTAAATAAATAAACAAATAAATAATATGTATTGTCGAAGGCTTTCATAGCTGGAATCACTAGGTTCTTGTGGGTTTTTTCGGGCTATAGGGCCATGTTCTAGAGGCATTTCTCCTGACGTTTCGCCTGCATCTATGGCAAGCATCCTCAGAGGTAGTGAGGTCTGTTGGAATTAGGACAATGGGTTTATATATCTGTGAAATGGCTGGGGTGGGACAAAGAGCTCTTCTCTGCTGGAGCTAGGTGTGAATGTTTCAACTGACCACCTTCATTAGCATTTGAAGGCCTGGCTGAGCCTGGGAAAATCCCCTGTTGAGAGGTGTTAAGACCCTATGCGGTCAGGAAACCTGTTCCTGCCATACATCAAGGGAACCACTGAACGCATAGGGAAGCTGATGAGGAAACACAACATACAAACAATCTACAGACCCACCAAGAAAATCCAACAAATGCTACGTTCAGCAAAGGACAAGAGGGATCCTCTCACCTCTGCAGGAGTCTACCGTGTACCATGCAGCTGTGGACAAGTCTACATAGGGACCACCAAACGCAGCGCCCAGACACGCATCAAGGAACATGAAAGGCACTGCAAACTACTCCAACCAGAGAAATCAGCCATAGCAGAGCACCTGATGAACACCTGGACACAGCATATTATTTGAGAATACAGAAATTCTTGACCACTCTAACAACTACCATGTCAGGCTACACAGAGAAGCCATTAAAATCCACAAGCATGTGGACAATTTCAAAAGAAAGGAGGAACCATGAAAATGAACGAAATCTGGCTACCAGTATAAAAAACTCTAAAATTACAACAGCAAAACAGAAGAGAGGAAACAACCAGGCACATCTTAACACCTCTCAACAAAAGATTTTCCCAGGCTCAGCCAGGCCTTCAAATGCTAATGAAGGTGGTCAGTTGAAACATTCACACCTAGCTCCAGCAGAGAAACTCTTTGCCCCACCCCAGCCATTCCACAGATATATAAACCCATTGTCCTAATTCCAACAGACCTCACTACCTCTGAGGATGCTTGCCATAGATGCAGGCGAAACGTCAGGAGAAATGCCTCTAGAACATGGCCATATAGCCCGAAAAAAACCCACAAGAACCTAGTAAATAAATAATACATGGCAAGCAATGGCCTCCAGGCTCTGCTGCCCGGCCTTGACCCCATTATAAGCTGAGGGGGGCTTTTTCAGCTCAAAGAAAGGTCTGAAAAACTCGACTTATCTTCGAGTATATACGGTATGTTACAGAAAGCCGAAATGCAAACAAACAAACAAATATCAGAGACCGCCTCTTTATATAACTGCTTCATCTTGGCCCATTGTTGTATTAACATTACAAACACAGCAACTACTTGAATGACTACCTTTATTTTTCATGTCCTAACCATCATCAGAACCCATCATAAAAATTTTGAGAGGTTTCTTGTTGAGGCAGAGCATTGTGTACGCTTTACTTTTGCTTTAAAACCCTCCAAATAGATACACCCTCTGCTCATGTCCAGCATTTATTTTTAAAGTTTTAACTATTACATTTGGCCCAGCCATAGGTTTTAAACTCTTGTGTGTTATCGTCTACTTGTGAGTTATATTAATTGTATTGTTTATTTTGTTTATTGCTTGTTATTTTATTATTGCTTGTTGTTTTTGATGTGTTGTTGGGCTTGGCCTCATGTAAGCCGCTCTGAGTCCCTTGGGGAGATGGTGCCGGGGTATAAATAAAGTATTATTATCATTATTATTATTATTATTATTATTATTATTGCTTCCTCTTCGTGGTTTCTGATTGTCATCTTGCTTCTCCCAATAGGCTCCTTTGGCTCAGCCAGAATCCCCTACAGCGTCGGCAGGAGAGGACGTCCAGTCTCTTGCCGATTCCATGGACTCCGACAGAGATTCCATCTGCAGTAATTCCAATGGCAATAGCGGCAAAAACGGGAAAGAAAAAGAAAAACAACGCAAGGAGAAGGAAAAAAACCGTGCCGATTCCGTGGCCAACAAACTCGGGAGTCTGAGCAAAACGTTGGGCATCAAGCTGAAGAAGAACATGGGCGGGCTCGGGGGCCTCGTGCACGGCAAAATGAGCCGGGCGAATTCAGGGAACGGGAAGAACGGGGAGATCATCGAGAAGGTCAAAGAGAAGAAGTCCAAGTCCCGCAAGGGGAGCAAGGAGGAGTCCGGACAGTCGGCGAGCACGTCGCCTTCCGAAAAGACGACCCCTTCCCCCACCGATAAAGCAAGCATCTCGCCCATTGAGAAAATGAGCTCCAAATCCCCGTCAGATAAGCAGTCGGACCCGTGGAAGTACAGCACCGACGTGAAGCTGAGCCTCAACATTTTGAGGGCCGCCATGCAAGGGGAGCGGAAGTTCATTTTCGCCGGCCTCCTCCTGACCAGCCATCGGCACCAGTTCCATGAGGAGATGATTGGCTATTACTTGACCAGCGCCCAGGAACGCTTCACTGCTGAGCAAGAACAGAAGAGGAAGGAGGCGGAGAAGAAGGCCACGCTCAACGGGTCGGTCGGTCGGAAACTGGAGCAAGAAGCCTTCTCGAAAGAGAAGCTGGAATCATCTCCTCAGGGAAGGGCATCACCCGTCTTGCCTCAAAGCCATACGACTCCCCTGGTGTTGAAGTTCAAGGACCGCACGAGTCCCATGCCGGGGTCGTTTTCCTCGCCGAGCAACAGCGCCAAGAGAAGCGGACCCATCCCGGTATCTGCCCACTATAGCCATACGCCCCCCGTTCAACGGCAGAGTGTCATCCACTTGCATGATGTCAACTCCAAGCCATCGAGCTTCCAAGACGATACCTACAAGCCAGTGGTCGGTACCTTAAAAACGTGTGCTACGTACCCGCAACAGAACCGGTCGCTGTCGTCGCAGAGCTACAGCCCGGCCCGGATATCCGGCATCCGCACGGTGAACACGGTGGAGTCGCTGACCTACGCCATGCCTACGGACCACAAGTCGCAAACGTATACCAACGGGTTTAACACCAGCGACATCCGAGACTGCTTGGAATATGCCGACGAGGAGGCGCCTCAGACCTGGGTAAACAATGACAAAAACCGAGGCCGGAGCAGTGTTTGCCCGATCTATTCCATCCAGCAGAACCACTGCAAGAGGGAGAACTGCTCCTTCTACGGCCGCCCGGAGACTGACAACTATTGCTCCTACTGCTACAAGGAGGAGATCAAACGCAGGGAGCGAGAAAACAAGGGCCATCGACATTAAAGACGGTGGCGCTCTCTTCCCCTGACTATTGATTTCCTCCGTTTTTTCTTACTTAGCAAGTTTGTGTCAGTGGATTATGGGAGGAGAAGAAAGGGAAATCCTGCAAAAAAGGAATCTGTGGGAGAAAGGTCTACGCTTATTTTTGTTTTCTTTTTTCTGGGAGCGAAGAAAAACAAAAGGATAATTTATCATAAAAAGAATTTTATTGTTTTCCATTTTGTGGTTTGTCTTTTTTACATACACTGGTAAGCTGAAAGGTTGTTTACTCCTTTTTTTGTCAGTGCTATGTATATGTGTGGTCAAAATTTTACTAATGGTGCCTGAATTTACGCTGACATCACTCAGGTAGTAGAACGATAGGGAAAAAGTCATAATATAACTGGAGATGTGGTATTGTATAATAAGATTGTGTCTGCCTCATTCTAGAGAGCCATCTCTGTTCGAAAAAGAAGTAACTTTTCGTAGCCCCCTCCCCTTTGGTAAAGCTGGAGGGGAGAGGAATGGTCATTGTGTCTTCTAACATCCTTGCTTATCGACATTGATGTGATTGTTGTGCTCCACGGATACACAAACGAAGGTCTGGATTCATGAGGGAAGCTTTCCCACTCCTCAAACACAAACCCTTGAGTGTGTTGCTGAAAGCGAGACAATTTTTACTTTGGCATATTCTTTCCGACTCTCAAAAACAAGCGCTCTTTACAATTTCATGGGGAGAGGTCCATAGGAGACAAAACAACTGCAGCTATGGCTTTGCACACTTGTTTTTCTGTTGCCATTGTGTCCTATTGAGTTGAGTGTTTAGTTTGGCTTAGCAGTACTGTTCATTGAAGCCACTTTGTTTAGATACAATTTTTTGGAAATTCCGGAAAGTTGGCAATACGCAAGCAAAATGTAATAGTATTCATACAACCCAAGGTAATAGGGTCGTGGTGGCACAGCAGGTTAAACGGCTCAGCTGCGGAACTTGGAAAGGTTGGCGCTTTGAATCCACAGATTGGGGTGAGCTCCCTTCGTTAGCCCCAGCTTCTGCCAACCTTAGCAATACTGCTCATTGAAACCATTTTATTTAGATATTATTATTATTTTTGAAATTCTGGAAAGTTGGCAATACGCAAGCAAAATGCAATAGTATTCATACAACCCAAGGTAATAGGGTCGCAGTGGCGCAGCGGGTTAAACAGCTCAGCTGCGGAACTTGGAAAGGTTGGCGCTTCGACTCCACGGAGTGGGGTGAGCTCCCTTCGTTAGCCCCAGCTTCTGCCAACTTAGCAGTTCGAAAACATGCACATGTGAGTAGATCAATAGGTACCACTCCGGCAGGAAGGTTTTGTGTGTGTGTGTGTGTGTGCGTCAGGCGTAACTTGAGGAACTGCAAGTCGCTTCTGGTGTGAGAGAATTGGCTGTCTGCAAGGATGTTGCCCAGGGGATGTTTGATCATCCTGTGGGAGGCTCCTCTCATGTTCCTGCATGAGAAGCTGGAGCTGACAGACAGGAGCTCATCTCACTCCCTGGATTCAAACTGCCAACCTTTCTGTCAGCAGTCCTGCCGGCACAAGGGTTTAACGCATTGTGCCACAGGGGGGCTCCTGGCAGGAAGGTAATGGCACTCCATGCACTCATGCTGGCCACATGACCTTGGAGGTGTCTATGGACAACGCCGACTCTTCGGCTTAAAAATTGAGATGCGCACCAACCCCCTGAGTTGGACACAACTAGACTTAATGTCAGGAGAAAACCTTTACCTTTACTTTATCCCAAGGGAGAGTTGCTGCCTCTTTGCAGAGAAGGAAAAATGTCCAATCTCTAAAGGCTTCTGAAGACAGAGAGTTCACCTCACTATTTAAGCAATATATTCATCTGTCAAATATCTCTGGACCTTACCTTTCCGCACCCCACATCCATTCCATGTCTTCTGGATTCGTTCATCTCAATTTTTTTTCTGTGTCAGGAGTGACTTGAGAAACTGCAAGTCAAAGCTGGTGTGAGAGAACTGGCCGTCTGCAAGGACGTTGCCCAGGGGACGCCCTGATGTTTTGATGTTTTGCCATCCTCGTGGAAGGCCTCTCTTGTGTCCCCACATGGGGAGCTGACAGAGGGAGCTCAACCCGCTCTCCCCAGATTCCAACTGCAGACCTGTCAGTCAGCAGTCCTGACAGCACAAGGGTTGAACCCATTGCACCACCGGTGAAAGGACGGCAAATAACTATTGCAGCATGGCATCGCTTTGACGACACAGATCTGTACACCTGCAGTCCTCCCTTTTATTAGGACGGCTTTTTGTGACGGGAAAAATACATTTAGGATCCTGACTTTTAATTCAGACCTTCTTTGATAGCTTTAGTGTGGGGGGAATATCTAAAAATCATCCCTCATTTATATTTTATTTTTATTTTGCATCCTTTGTTTCAACAAAATTGTGCCTCTTGTCAATTGTGCGTTTTTTGCACAACATTGAAACTGCCTCATGTCAAAGTACTTGCGGAGTACAGAACGAAGCGAGAAGGGCTCCTTGGTACATCCCAAGAAGAACGAAAACTATACCAATTTCTTTATTTACCTACTTAAAATATATTCAGCCCCGCTCCCCCCCCCCTTTTTTTTTTTGGCTGAAAGCAATAGGAAATATTACAAATGTGGTTTTACTATGAATCCAGGCATGTCGTTTGTGTATCTCTGAGAGGTTGACAGGATATGTGGTCTTCTGAATTAGTGTCTATTCCCCTCTTCCCTTCCAAGAAACCACCCAACGAGGATGTTTCATTGCACTTAAGGCCACGGTCATGCTATACAGTTATGGGAAATCCCAGCAAGGAGGAGGACGAACGATGTATTTGACACTGCCTGGGCTCTGCAGTCTTCTCGACCAGCTTTGCCACTCATTTTGAAGTGAGCGAAAAGGGCACCTTCCCTCCCTTTTTCAAGGGACTCTTCCCTTGCCCTTTCTGTGCTTCCAGTTGAGAATCAAAAGTGCAAAAGAGATGTGGCGGAAAGGCTGCTGCTAAGTCAGTTTGAGCAGGAGCTTTGGATGCTCCAGCTGTGAACAATGGCTCTGGTGTCTTCGTGGGTTAAGTGTAATTGCTCGTGTGTTGTTTTTTGGCCAAAGAAATCTGTGATACCAGGTGGAGTTACCTATGATTGTATTTGTTCCAGAGAGAGATCAATCAGGAGATGTTTTGGAGACGTTTTACGAGATATTTTGGAGACATTTCGGAGACATTTTACAAAACGTTTCAGAGACGTTTTACGAGATGTTTCGGAAATGTTTTATGAGACATTTTGGAGACATTTTACGAGATGTTTTGGAGACATTTCGGAGACATTTTACAAAACGTTTCGGAGACGTTTTACGAGATGTTTTGGAGACGTTTCGGAGACATTTTACAAGATGTTTTGGAGATGTTTCGAAGACGTTTTACAAAATGTTTCGGAGATGTTTTACAAGATGTTTCGGAAAGGTTTTATGAGATGTTTTGGAGATGTTTTACAAAATGTTTCAGAGATGTTTTATGAGATGTTTCGGAAACGTTTTACGAGATGTTTCGGAGACGTTTTACAAGATGTTTTGGAGACGTTTCGGAGACTCTTTACGAGATGTTTCGGAAACGTTTTATGAGACTTTCAGAGACATTTTACGAGACGTTTTGGAGATGTTTTATGAAAGCAAATATTCGTAACTACTAACGTATTAGTGTAGAAATAGTTTCAATATTCCCATGAGCACTTCTCTAGGGAAATTTAGGGAAATTTGCTATTTATCATTTTTGTTTCTCTCTTTTGATTTAACTAAAACACTTTCTAAAACTATACTTACAAGGTACAGTAGAGTCTTGTTTATCTGACATAAATGGGCCGGGAGAACATCGGATAAATGAAAATGTCGGATCATCCAGAATCTCACCCTGTTACTTGTCTGACACAGTGCTAGACACCTAGAATACTAACAACAGGGACTCAGTGTAAAGGCAAGGCAATGCCTTGGGGCTAGAGTGACCCCACAGGAAGTACCTGGATGCAGAAGAGGAGTGTGGAAATCACAGAGCAAAAGAGTGGGGATGCTTCTGCTTCCGGTCCTGTCTCTTTCCCGCTTTCCTCCCTCCTTGTCTTTCCCTTTTCGCTTATTGGGAATGGAGAGAGAATTGGGGAGCACTCCTTTAATTGAAGGGGAAATGCTGGAGGAAAAGGGGGCCTCGGATAAGTATTGGATAAGATGGAATGTCGGATAAGCAAAGGTCGAATAAGCGAGACTCTACTGTTTTTTATTTCTCAACACAATGCTTATCAGGAGAGTAACTGTGAACAGCTTTCTACTAAAACACTAAGCATAACCTAACAGGAGGAAAATGAATCCTGCCCTCCTGTAACTAGAATAAGAAGGGCTCTGATTAGCTCCCTTACTCTACCATCTTTAGGATTGCCATAAGTTGGAAATGATTTGGAGGCACACAACTGTTACTACTAGCTCCATGCAAAGGAGACTCCTCTGTAGGCAAGGGTTAGTGAACTGCTAATAGGAAAGCAGAAAACGCATGGCTTTGAGTGCCTCACTCCATCCCACAACTGTCAGGCCAGGGCCAAATCTAGTCGTGGATGAATGGTCCTGTTCCAGAGTTTGAGAGTATGGAGTGAGAATTGGAGGCCTTAAGCTGAAATTGAGAGTCACATATCCTTGACCAGAGAAAGCCAGGCATCCAGGTTGACAGTACTAATACCATAACTGGCCAATGCAGAAGTCCCATACTGTTTGCCAGTTGCAAAACCCAGCATTTCATATTCCTTCTTATTTTATGTGCCTGAAATAAGATGTTGAGGTTGAAGATATGCAGGATACGAGGCTAGATCCCAGACTGAAATGGTAAGCTTCTCCAGCCAAGCCTCTGAGTACCTGGCAAATGAGTCACAACTGAGAGGGAATTGAAACACTCGGATTGTTCAGATGGGGTTTTTTTCATGCCAGGAGCGACTTGAGAAACTGCAAGTCACTTCTGATGTGAGAGAATTGGCCGTCTACAAGGACGTTGCCCAGGGAACGTCCAGATGTTTGACATTTGATCATCCTGTGGGAGGCTTCTGTTATGTCCCCACGTGGGAAGCTAGAGTTAACACAAGAGCTCACCTCACTCCCCTGATTCAAACTACCAACCTGTTGGTCAGCAGTCCTGCCAACACAAGAGTTTAAGCCATTGTGCCAGTGGGGGCTTTGCTCAGGTCGGTCA